CGGGGGAGGGTACCGCACCGGAGGCGCAGGACCCTTCCCTGGTGGGGAGGGGAGGGCCGGGGGCACGGCTCAGAGAGGCTGAGGCCTCAGACCTGGCCACTGAGGGGGAACCGGGCCCCATCCCTTCCCCAGCCGCTGCGTTCCAGGCCGAGTTGAGGAAAGATCCTCCTTGCGGAAGCTCAGGGACCTGGCCGACCTCGGTGTGGTACGGACCATGAGGAGAGGCTGCCAGGAGAGGGTTCCTGTGGGAGAAGGGGTTCCTATACCGAGAATGGGCTCCCACAAGGGAAGTGGAGTCCTGTGGGATCAGGAGGCAGCTGGTGGTCCCCCAGAGGTATCGCCGCAGCTCCTGTACCTGGCCCGCGACATCCCCCTCGCAGGGCACCAGGGGAATCCGGCGCACCCGGCAGGGGTTGCTACAGAACTTTGGCTGGCCCGGGGTCTTTACCACGGTCCGGCAGTATTGCCGATCCTGTGACCCCTGTCAGAGGGTGGAGAAGGCCCGGGACAAGGGGAAGCGGCTTTGAGACCTTTGCCCATCATAGAGGAGCCTTTCCAGAAGGTGGCCATGGACATCGTGGGGCCTCTCAGCAAGGCGGCCCGGTCGGGGAAGAAATACATTCTGGTCGTGGTAGATTTTGCCACCACTTACCCCAAGGCAGTGCCCTCAGCTTCCAATGAAGCAGACACCGTGGCAGCCAACGCTCCTGACCATTTTCAGCCAGTGGGGTTCCCAAGGAAGTCTTGACAGACCAAGGCTCCAACTTCATGTCGGCCCTGCTCCGGTGCTTGTGGGAGAAATGTGGGGTCCGGCACGACTGGGCCTCAGCTTATCACCCCCAGTCCAACGGGCTGGTGGAGAGGTTTAACGGGATGCTAAAGATGATGCTGAAAACCTTTATCAACCAGCACCCGCAGGGGTGGGACAAGTACTACCTCACCTGCTGTTCGCGTACATGGAGGTGCCCCAGGAGTCGACCGGATTTTAGCCTTTCGAACTGTTATATGGCAGGAGGGTGAGGGGCCCCCTGGACCTGATGAGAGGCGAGTGGGAGGGGAGAAGGCCACTCCGATGGAGAGTCAGTGGTGGAGTATGTCCTGATCTTCCGAGAGGGACTGGCTGAACTCATGGGCCTGGCCAGGGAGAATCTGGCCAGAGCCCAGAGGAAGCAGAAGGTCTGGTATGACCGCACGGTGCGGAGCCCGGGCCTACGCCACCGGGGATCCGGTGATGGTTCTCATCCCCGTGAAAGAACAAACTACAGGCCGCCTGGGAGGGCCTTTCAAGGTCGTCAAGCAGCTCAATGGGGTAAACTATGTGGTGGAGCTGTCGAACCGGGCGCACCGCCGCCGGGTGTACCTGTGAATATGATGAAGCCATATTATGCCAGGGGGAATGTGGTGTTGGCCGTGTGTGGACAGTGGGAAGAGCAGGAGATGACCCTTTTGTAGATCTATTCCCTGGGACCAGAGCTGGTTCCCCCTGGAAACAATCCCCCTCTCGGATCAGCTAACCCCTGCCCAGCAAGCTGAGGTCAGGGGAGGTGCTGCATCCGTCCCGACAGCTGTTTTCCAACCAGCCTGGACGCACTAATCTGACTGTCCACCGGGTGCAGACAGGGTCGCACCCGCCGATAAGATGCTCCCCCTTCCGAGTCACAGGGAAAACTGCTCAGGACCTGGAAAGAGAGGTCCGGGACATGCTGGCTTTGGGGGTGATCCAGCCATCTGCCAGCCCTTGGGCCTCGCCGGTGGTGCTGGTCCCCAAAAGGACGGGTCGGTCCGGTTCTGTGTGGACTATGGGAAGCTCAATGCCATCACTGTATCGGATGCCTACCCCATGCCCAGGCCGGACGAGCTCCTAGGCAAGCTGGGAGGAGCTCGGTACCTCACCACCATGGACCTTACAAAGGGCTACTGGCAAGTGCCGCTGGATGCAGATGCCCGGCTGAAATCGGCCTTTATCACCCCTCTGGGGCTCTATGAGTTCCTGACCCTGCCTTTCGGCCTCAAGGGAGGCGCCGGCCACCTTCCAGCGCCTGGTGGACCAGCTCCTGAGGGGATGGAGAGTTTTGCCGTGGCGTATATTGATGACATCTGTGTCTTTAGCCAGACCTGGGAGGACCACGTGTCCCAGGTTAGACAAGTGCTGGACCGACTCCAGGGGGCTGGGCTGACTGTAAAGCGGAGAAGTGCAAGGTGGGGATGGCGGAAGTGTCTTACCTGGGCCATCGGGTGGGGAGGCGGCCGCCTAAAGCCGGAACCAGCCAAGGTGGAGGTGATCAGAGACTGGCCCGCTCCCCACACCAAAAAGCAGGTCCAGGCCTTTGTGGGATGGCAGGATACTACCGAAGATTTGTGCCCCACTTTAGTGCCATAGCCACCCCCATCACTGAGCTATGCAAGAAGGGAAGCCAGACAAGGTGGTCTGGACTGAGCAGTGCCAGGAGGCTTTCGGGCGCTGAAGGAGGCTCTGGTCAGTGGCCCAGTTCTGGCAAACCCAGACTTTGACAAGCCCTTTGTGGTGTTCACCGACGCCTCCGACACGGGACTGGGGGCGGTGTTAATGCAGGAGGATGAAAAGGGGAGAGATGCCCCATCGTGTACCTGAGCAAAGTTGCTACCCCGGGAGCAACACTACGTGGCCATCGAGAAGGAGTGCCTGGCCATGGTGTGGGCCCTCAAGAAACTAGAGCCCTATCTCTTCGGGCGGCACTTCACCGTGTACACCGACCACTCTCCCCTGACCTGGCTGCACCAGATGAAAGGAGCCAACGCCAAGCTCCTGAGATGGAGCCTGCTCCTGCAGGATTACGACATGGACGTGGTCCACGTGAAGGGGAAGGGCCAACCTGATAGCGGATGCGCTGTCCCGGAGAGGGGGCCCCGAACTTCCCCAGGTCACTGGTCTCAGTGACCCCGCTCAGTTCAGTCTCGAAGGGGGAGAGATGTGACGATGTGACTCAGCAGGGAGGGGGAGTGTTGACCTGGGAATGTGCCCTGGGGATGGGAGACCTGAGAGCCTGTCACCTGAGCCAGGAGGGGAGGGGGGGAGGGTAACACCTCTGCCAGGGAATGTGGACGGAGACTGCAGCAGGGAACCTGCTGGGGGGGTTAGTTTCAGTTTGGGGCTGGGTGGAAGAACACAGGGAACCCCAGGGCTGGGGTCTAAGCTCCCTGCTCCCCCAGAAGGACGTGATTGAGGGTCCTGGTTGTACCCACAAGCTCTGTTGGGGACTGTGTTCCTGTTGTCCAATAAACCTTCTGTTTTACTGGCTGGCTGAGAGTCTCAGTGGATCCCAGGAAGAGGGGTGTAGGGCCTGGACTCCCCCACACTCCGTGACAGTGGGGATAAGGGAGTGTGACTTGCTGAGACCCTTGGGGGCAGTAGGCGATGGCCAGTGCCCCTCGGAACCTGAGACCCAGGAGGGGATGTGACCAGGTGACATGTTGCCCAGGAAGCGAGACAAAGACCGGGGGGATGGGGGGCAATGGAGGAGTTTGGGGCCAGGCAGCTGGAAGCGGGGCCGTCTCCTGTGTGGGACTCGGGGAGCCCAAGGCGCTGGGCTCTGGGTCCCCCTCAACAGACTTTGCTGCAGGTCCCTGTTCCCTGCACGCACAAGCTCTGTTCTACGCTGGGTTCTCCACGTCTCACAACCCGCCTGTGTCACGCGCTGCCTGGGAGTCGCTGCTGGCTGGAGGGGGCCCCTGGGGGCTCGTGAGGCTCCCCAGGGTCCTGTCCAGGGGGACTTGCTGTGGGGGTCCTGGGGTGACAAGGGGGGCTGAACACTCCGAGGGTCGGGACCCTGGAGGCCCCCGAAGCCGGACAGGCTCCTGGCCCTAGTGACAGGTGCTCTGTGGGGAGACCCTGCCCCAGAGTCCTGCATGAGCCTCATCTGGAGCCGTGCAGGAGCCCCCAGCCTGCGGCTCCGTGACAAGGGGAAACTGAGGCCCACACAGTATTCAGAGAAAACATTAGCTCATTCCCACTTCCCCACACCCCATTCCCCGATGGAGGGGTGTCACAGAGTCCCTGGGCGATGCTCAGGAACTGCTCCCTACATAGCCAGGCAGGACTCTGGGGAAGTCTCCTCTCTGGGAGCAGCCTGTCTTCAGCACACACAGCTCACCCGGCTTCCACCTTCCTGGGTCTGACCTCGGAGCATTCAGCCTCCTCTGTCCCTCCGTGCGCTTCCCACAGCGAGTCTGCTCAGGTGAGGCTCCTGAGGAAGCCAGAGGGTCCTGCCTCCCAACTCCGCAGTCAGACGTGACTCTCAGCCAGCCAGAAAAACAGAAGGTTTATTAGACGACAGGAACATGGTCTAACACAGAGCTTGTAGGTGCAGAGAACAGGACCGCTCAGCTGGGTCCATTCTGGGGGGGGGCAGGGAGGCCAGAGCCCCATCTGGGCCCCCCTCCATTTCCCCAGACCGCTCCAAACTGAAAACTCTCCCTCCCCTCCTCTGGCCTTTGTCTCTTTCCCAGGCCAGGAGGCCACCTGATCTCTTTGTTCTCCAGCCCCTTCAGTTGGCACCTTTGCAGGGGAGGGGCCCAGGCCATCGGTGGCCAGGAGACAGGGTGTCGGCCATTCTCTGTGCAGACAGCATCACACTGGCCCTGTAGGGCTCTGCAACAATCACACCCCTGATCCCACCACCTAGACACTTAAGAACTGCCTAGGGGAAACTGAGGCACTCACACAGTATTCAGAGAGAACACTGAGAACATTCCCACTTCATCACAAGGGGCCACACTGCCAGGTTCTATGGGGACCCCAGGTGGGACCCCCCGCCCCACAGAGACCCTACCGCCGCCCCCTAGGAGTGGCACTGCTCCTCCCTGAGAAGGAACCCCCCACTCCTCTGCACTTGCTCCTGGTGCCTCCACAGGCCCCCTGTGTTGGGGGCAGGCCCCCTGTGGGGGCCCCCCCCCAGTGCTGATGTGCTCTCTCTCTCTCTCTCCCCCAGGAACATGGGCACCTGCTACCGGGGCGTGTGAGGGGGGCGCTCGCTGCTGGCCAACCTCTCAGGTTTGGGGTCCCTGGGCTCCCGGCGGGCAGGGGGGGTGCCCGGGGACCTGGCCCACTGCCTGTGGGTGCTGTCGGTTTCACCCGGCCTGGAGCCCTGCCTGCCCGCCCAACCCTGCCCCGCTATCAGCCTGACCCTGCAGCCCGACCTCAGCACCCCCTGCATGGTGAGTGGGGTGGGCTGGGGGGGCTTGGACCAGGTGCTGGGGGGGCGTTGTGGGGAGCAGGGTCCGTGCTGGATGCCGTGAGGAAGGCAGCACTGGGGGGCAGAGCAGGATCTTACCATGGGGGGGCAGAGTGGGGTCCAAGCTGGGTGCTATGGCTGGTGCTGGGGGGTACCAGGGTTCAGGCCCTGCGAAGGCCGCTGTCATTGGGCGAGCAGGGCCCGCGGCGGGGGAGCAGGGCCTGGGCCAGGCGCCATGGGGGTGCTGGAGGGGAGCAGCCATACCAGGGGTCCCATCTCCACCTGCCCCCCAGCACAGCTACGCCTACGCCTTCGATGGGCTGCCGGCCTTCCTGGACACCGGGGAGATCCAGGCCGACCGGACCCTCATCGGAGCCTTCTGCGGACAGGGCCGTGCCCAGCCCCTCACTGTGGAGGCCGCGTCAGGTAGGTGCTTTCAGTGGGGGGGGGCATGGGCCCCCCAAGGTTCTGGGCACAGGCCCCCCGGGGTTCCGGGCACGGAATGGGGTTGGGGGTGTCCTGGGGTCCCAGCTGGCTCTGCAGGGGTTGGGATGGGGTGTAGCCCTGGGTGGGTCTGTGTGGGCCGCGACCCACCCATTTATCATCCAGCCCTGCCCCACAGCTCCGGCCCTGCTATGGCACTTGCTGGCCCACAAGCCCCCGCACCCCGACCCAATGCTCCCATCCGGCGGTCCTGTACCCATTTTCCTGGGGCCCCCAATTGGCTGGGGCCCCTGGCCATGGGCCCCGTTGGCCCAGTGACTAAGCCACCACTGGGAGGAGGGCAGTTGATCGAGTTCGCGGCCCCAGAGGAGATCCTCAGGAAAGTTAGGGCTGCCGCCTCAGGGAGCCAGGCCCAGCGTAGGGTGCGGATGGGTACCGAGAGCCGTGGGTGCTGAAGTCAGGGCCCACCCTGATGTCCCCTCCTGGCTATGCCACTGGGACAGGCTCAGCCATCAGGGCCAGGCTACCTCCTGTCGGCCGGTCTCTGTGCCCAGGCAGCCAGTCACAGCCACACCTGCCCCCAGGGGTCGCTGCACCCATCAAACCCCCTGGTCCCCCTGTCCCGGGGTCCCTGGGCGATGCTCGGGACCTGCTCCCCACGAAGCCAGGCAGGACTCTGGGGGAGTCTCCTCTCGGGGAGCAGCCTGTCTGCAGGACACACAGCTCACCCGGCTTCCTCCTTCCTGGGTCTGACCTCGGAGATTCAGCCTCCTCTGCCCCTCCGTGCGCTTCCCACAGCGAGTCCGCCCAGGCGGGGGTCCTGGGGGGGGGCCAGAGGGTCCTGCCCCAACTCTGCAGTCAGACGGGACTCTTAGCCAGCCAGTAAAACAGAGGTTTATTAGACGACAGGGACATGGTCTAACACAGAGCTTGTAGGTGCAGAGACCAGGACCCCTCAGCTGGGTCCATTTTGGGGGGCAGTGAGCCAGACAACCCCGTCTGCCCTTCACTCCAGGTCCCGGCCAGCCCCAAACTGAAACTCCCTCCAGCCCCTCCCCCTCTGGGCTTTGTCCCCTTCCCGGCCCAGGAGGTCACCGGAGAACACCTTTAGCTCTCACCTTGCAGGGGGAAGGGCCCAGGCCATCAGTTGCCAGGAAACAGGGTGTCAGCCATTCTCTGTGTCCAGACCCTGCACACACCTGCCCTCCAGGGCTCTGCAATGATCATACACCCTTACCCCACCCCTAGATACTTAAGAACTGCACAGGGGAAACTGAGGCACCCCCACACTATTCAGAGGAAACATTAAGGACAGTCCCGCTTCGTCACACCCCCCACCTATGTACTGGAGTAACACAGGGAAACTGAGGCACACAGTATTCAGAGAAAACATTGAGAACTGCGTCATGGGGGGCCAAACAGACCCTCCTGGTTCCCGGCTGCGCGCAGGGTAGACGGGGGGGGCACAGAGACACCCCCCCCCCCCCACCTCCCCTGGCTGTGCACAGGTGGGGGGCACAGGCGGCTCCTAACACCCCTCCCTCCCAGGGCTGCTGGTTCTGTACTACGAGGCGAACTCCAGCGAGGCGTCAGGGTTCAACGCTACTTTCGCGGTGCATCGCTGCTGGCCTGGCTGCCGGCCCACCCAGGAGTGCCGGGATGGGCGCTGCGTGTGCCGGGGGCTATGCTGGGCCCCACTGCCAGCTGCGGGTCTGCCCCGGGAACTGCTCTGCCCACGTTGGCCGGGCGTCTGCAACATGGTGAGTGATGGGGCGGGCAGGGGGCTGCCAAGGGAGGGGCCTGGGACAGGGGGGACTTACCAGGGGTTGGGGGGGCGGGCAGGGGACTGAGCTGGGGGAGGGGCAGGGAGAGTGTTATGGGGGGCACAGGCAGGGGGGTACAACAGGGGGAGGGCGGGGGGATGAAGTGGGAGGAGAAGGGGAACGGCTGGGGGGCTCCATTGGGGGACTGGCCCAGGGCGAGTTCACAGTGGGGCTGGAGTCCACGGCTGGGCCCAGGATCTGTGCTGAGGCATGTGGGGGGAGGAGGTGAGGTCAGCACAGGCCCTGGGGGGCAGTAGCCAAGGGGGGCAGGGGTGAGGTCCGTGCCCGTCTCACCCTCCCCCTCCTGCCCCCAGAGTCTGGGTCTGTGCATCTGTGGCGAGGATTCGGGGTGCGGATTGTTCGGTGCCGCTGGACCCGGGGAAGCTCATCTGGGAGACGCTGATCGACAGCCAGCTGACGCCCGTGAGTCCCCCCCCGGGCCCCCCCAACCTCGCCGAACCACCCCCCATGCACCCTGCCTGGGCGCCCCTGCTCCTTGCACCCCCTTGCCCTGCCCCGCCCCATCCCCCCAACCCCACCGGGGCACTCCCCACTCTGCCTGGCAGGGGCACTGCCCAGCTGCCCCCACGCCTGCCCAGCCTGGCCTGGGATGGGCACCCACCGCATCCTGGCACCCCTGCCCCCCCCCCCCCCCCCCCCACGGCCCCACCGAGCACCCCATAGCCCTGCCTGGCCTGGGCACACCCCATTCCTGGCCAGGCACCGCCCCCTGCCCCACACTCAAAGATGGCCCCCCAGACCCTGGCCCGGCCCCAGCCCCAGCCCCAGGCCCCCAGGCGCTGACCCTGCCTCTGTCGTCTGTCCCAGGACACGGCCAGCCGGTTCCTGCACCGCCTGGGCCACACCATGGTGGAGGGGCCGGAGGCCACGCTCTGGATGTTCGGGGGCCTGTCCCTGCGCCAGGGGCTGCTGGGCAACGTCTACAGGTGAGTGGGGAGCCCTTGGGCTCCACCCCCTTCCTCCGGGCTCCCCCCCCCCAGGGACCTGCCAGGCTCCGCCCCCTTCCTCGGGCTCCCCCAGGGACCTGCCGGGCTCCGCCCCTTCCTCAGGCTCCGCCATCCCCGGATGGGACCCTCTCTTCTCCCGCTGGGATCACAGGTTCACCCCAACTCCTGACCTGACTCCACCCCCAGCCCGGGGTGCTGCCCCCCACCCTCTTCTAATTGGACTGGCCTGGGTCAGGCCTCGGTTACCCCAGCGGTGGGGCTGGAGGGAGGGGCAAGCCGTGGGTCTCTGGGGTGGGGGAGAGCCCCATTGCCCCCAGCTCTGGGGGTGGGGCTGTGGGTCTCTGGCCCCCCCGGCTCCGGGGGGACTCTCTCGCTCTGGGTCTCTCCCCACAGGTACTCCATCCCTGAGCGCCGCTGGACCCAGATGCTGGCGGGGACGGAGGACGGGGCCAGGGCCCAGCCCCCGCTACTTCCACGCCGCGGCCTACGTGCCGGCCCGCCAGGCCATGGTGGTGCTGGGGGCTGGCGGCCGGCGCGTCACCAGCGACTGCTGGGTGCTCAGCCTCACCACGCTGCAGTGGAGACAGGAGCAGGGTACCCCGCAGCCCCCGCCCCCCTGCATGACCCCCGCCCCCCACGCTGACCCCAGCCCCGGGCTCCCGCTCATTCTGCCCGTGAGCCCGTGCCCCTGACACTCGACCTCGGTGCCCTGGACCCCTGCCTCCGGGGCCCCCGGCCCGCTCTGAGCTCTGCTCCCCCCAGGATCCCCTGCTCCCGGCCGTGGCGGGGCACCTCTGACCCCCGGCGCGACACCTCCCCTGCTGCTCATCGGCGGCTACTCCCCGGCCGACGGCTTCAGCAAGCAGCTGCTGGAGTACGGTGTGGAGAGCGGCGCTGGCAGGCGGGGCCGGCGGCTGGGACCCCCCCCCACAGGTACAACCCCCCCCCAGGTACCCCCCCGCGTGCAGAGCGGGGTGCTGGCAGGCAGGGCAGGTTTCTGGGACACCCCCAGATCCCCCCAGCGTGGAGAGTGAGCGTTGGCAGGCAGCTGGGACCCCAGTGTGGGGACAGAGCAAGGTGAGGGTGTCACGGGGTCCCCGAGGCGATGCTCTGGACCTGCTCCCCCACACGAAGCCACTGGGACAGGCTCCAGCCATCAGGAGCCAGGCTACCTCCTGTCAGCCGGTCTCTGTGCCCAGGCAGCCAGTCACAGCCACCCTGCCCCCAGGGGTCGCTGCACCCATCAAATCCCCTGGTCCCCCTGTCCCGGGGTCCCTGGGCGATGCTTGGGACCTGCTCCCCACGAAGCCAGGCAGGACTCCGGGGGAATCTCCTTTCTGGGAGCTGCCTGTCTTCAGGACACACAGCTCACCGGGCTCCACCTTCCTGGGTCTGACCTCGGAGCCTCCAGCCTCCTCTGCCCCTCCGTGTGCTTCCCACAGCCAGTCCACCCAGGCGGGGGTCCTGGGGGGGCCAGAGAGGTCCTGCCCCCAACTCCGCAGTCAGACGTGGCTCTCAGCCAGCCAGTAACACAGAGGTTTATTAGACGACAGGAACATGGTCTAACACAGAGCGTGTAGGTGCAGAGAATGGGACCCCTCAGCTGGGTCCATTTTGGGGGGCAGTGAGTCAGACAACCCCATCTGCCCTTCACTCCTCGTCCCCAGCCAGCCCCAAACTGAAACTCTCTCCAGCCCCCCCTCCTCTGGCCTTTGTCCCTTTCCTGGGCCAGGAGGTCACCAGATTCCTTTGTTCTACAACCGTTCAGCTCTCACCTTGCAGGGGGGGAAGGGCCCAGGCCATCAGTGGCCAGGAGACAGGGTGTCGGCCATTCTCTGTGTCCAGACCCCTGCACACACCTGCCCTCTAGGGCTCTGCAATGATCATACACCCTTACTCCACCCCCTAGATACTTAAGAACTGCACAGGGGAAACTGAGGCACCCCCCACAATATTCAGAGGAAACATTAAGAGCAGTCCCGCTTTGTCACAAGGGGTTCAGCAGCTGTCCCCGCCCCCCAGGTCCCCCCCTGGCGTGCAGAGTGAGCACGGGCAGGCGGCTGGGACCCCAGGGTGGGCACAGAGCAGGGTGAGGGGTTCAGCAGCTGTCTCCGCCCCCAGGTCTGTGCGGGCACTCGGCCGTGTACCACGAGGGCACAGACGCAGTCTACGTTTTTTTTTGGGGGGCAGCGTTTCCACGTGGAGACAGTGTCGGCCTCCCCCTGAACTTTACAGCCTACACTGCCCCAGCCGGACCTGGAGCCTGCTGGCCCCCGCCCAGGGCCCCAAGGTAGGGGACAGTGCCAGGGCAGGGGTGTGGGCATGGGAGGCAGGGGGGTTGGGCAACAGGGACATGGGGGTTAGGGCCTAAAGTTGTGGGGGATGTGGTTTGGGGGTGCAGCGGGGGTGGTGGTTTTGGGGTGCAGTGTGGTTTTGGGGTGCAGCAGGGATGTGGGCGTTTTGGGTTGCAGTGCAGTTGTGGGGGTTTTGGGGGTGCAGGGGTTTTGTTCTACAGTAGGGATGTGGGAGGTGGGGTCACAGGGTTTTGGGATGCAGTGTGGTTATGAAGCAAGAGAGATGGAGATATGGGGGTGCAGGGTTTTTGGGGTACAACAGGGATGTGGGGATGGGAAGGTTTGGGGTGAAGTGGGGTTATGGGCTAGGGGGATGGAGTTTTGGGGTGCAGCTGGTGGTTAGGGTTTGGGGCACAGTGGGGATGTGGGTGTGGGTGGGGTTTGGGGTACAGTGGGATTATGTGATTGGGGTATGAGGTTTTGGGGTGCAGTGAGGTTATGAGGCTGGGAGATGGGGTTTTGGGGTGCAGCGGGGGTGGGTTTTTGGGGGGGTGGGGGGTTCGGATACAGTGGGGTTATGGGGCTGGGGGATGGGGTTTTGGGGTCCAGTGATATGGGGCACGAGGGCACAGACACCGTCTAAATTTTTGGGGGCAGTGTAGATGGGGTGGTGGGGTTTTGGGGCACAGCAGGGATATGGGGGGGTGGGGGCAGGGGGTTTGGGGTGCAGTGGGACTTTGGGGTGCAGTGAGGTTACGGGGCTGGGGGAATGGGGTTTTGGGGTGCAACACATGGTTAGGGTTTTGGGTTGGTGGGGGGTTGGGGTACAGTGAGGTGATGGGGCTCAGGGGATGGGGTTTTGGGGTGGAGTGAAGTTATAGGGCACAGATGCAGTCTACGTTTTCAGGGGCAGCGTAGATGACGTGGTGGGGTTTTAGGGCACAGCGGGGATATGGGGGTGGGGATGGGTGGTTTTGGGGTGCAGTGGGGTTCTGGGGCTGGGGGTTTTGGGGTGCAGCAGGTGGTTAGGGTATTGGGGCACGGCAGGGATGTGGGGCAGGGGCTTTGGGGTGCAGTGGGATTGTAGGGTGCAGTGAAGTTACGGGGCTGGGGGAATGGGGTTTTGGGGTGCAGCGGGTGGTTAGGGTTTTGGGGCACGCGGGGATTTCGGGGGGGGGGGTTGACCCTGGCTCTTTTCGATCCCGTGTGGTCCCCCAGCCGCTGTCTCACATCTTCCACGCGGCGGCCGTGCTCCGGGACACTATGGTGGTGGTCGGGGGCCCACGGAGACCCAGGACTTCACCAGCCACCTGCTGCTTTACCAGCTTAACTGCAACACCTGGATCCTGCCCAGCCAGACGGGTAACGGGGCAGGGATGGGGGCCAGGGGCCGGGGGGCCGGGCAGGGGGGCCCCCAGCCACTGGCGGGGGGGACTCCCCGCCACACAGGCAATGGGGAGTGAGTTTCTCCCCAGCGTCTCCTTCCCCCCCCACACTGCCCCCGTTTCCCCCTCCAGGCTGGGGTTGGCGGAGTTTCCCAGGATCCTTTGCTCTCCCCCGCAGGCCCGGCAGTGGTGGGCGTGCCCGAGCGAGTCGGTGGCCCACGCGGTGGCCCCGCCGTCGGGGGCTGGATCTCGTTTCCGGGGGGTTCAGCGGGGTGGCGCTGGGCGCATGGCCGTGCTAGCTGTGCCCTCCGACCCTGCCTCGTCTTCCCCGGCCCCCGACGCCTGCAACCGCTCGCAGGCCAGCTGCACTGGTGCCCCCGGCAGCTGCCTGTCTGCCGACGCCGCCGACAGGTGGGGAGGCTGGGACGTGGCCACTGATGGGAGGG